CTTGTTGCGGGGGTCAACTTTTGGGTTAAAAATAGCAATTTTTGGCATTTTTTGGTAATTTTTGATGTGGTAACCATGGTTTTCACACAAGTGACATACATAGAAAAAAGAGGTTTATACACTTCTCAGTACTTTATATGTATTGTAAATGTAATGCAGTTTACAAATATATATACATGTATACATGTGTTGTGTAGGGTAAATCCGCTGTGTTTACATTTCCTCGACATGTGCCTTGTTTATCAGAGTCGGGCCATTTCTGGGGCACACCAACCATTTCCGAAATGGGACGAATACTATGACAAATTAAAAATAATGTCAGTAACTTAAAGTTTGATCTATTAAAATATGTTACATGTGAATGTGATTTATGAATTGGAAACTAGTCATTATTTGTTGTGTCAGCCATAATGATCGCAGACAATTACTCTCGGCATCCTTGCTCATATACTCATTCGCACTATACACTGCATACAATACTCAATGGTTGTAGGAATGTGATGGTGAAAGTAAATAAGAACATCATAGATGTTGTTTCCACCTTTTTCACAAACCATCAATGAAATGGTTACAATATACTACTATTTTAAACATGGCTATAACAGTTAAAAGTACTTGAAAGAAAATGTTGATTAGTCTTAATATGGCTGTTATCAATATCCTTATTTATTAATGTACACAATATGAATATAGCATGCTCACCCCATACATCAACATGGACAAGTACATGAAACAAAATATCAAGAATTAATTAGCTCAAATATAACTGTATAATTTGTTTTAATATAATACAGTTCGTAGTGCGAATATACCCTACAGATACATAGTTAATTGTCTATCAATTTAATATTTCATTAACCACAGGTCACTTTGTGTGGATCTTGAAATCCTAGGGATTACCTATAGTGAAGGATGATGCACACTATATTGTCTATTACCCTGATGATGTAACCGCTAAAATCAATGGAGTTATCTCCCATATATCATCACTTGAGCATTCAAATCCGTTAATTATAATATTGATGCATACAAATGCATCTCTACATCTTTTACAGGAGATAACTGATATAGGCATTACCTGCTGTATGGGTCTTTTTGAAATGCAATTTTGAATTTTAAAAAATATTGAAAAGAAATGATCTCTGCAGTGTTGTAAAAAATATATGGTATTACAACAAAATAATGATTGACCTTCGAAAAAATGAGTTGTGTGGCATACAGATACATTGTATGGGTATATTTCCAAACTTGTTATCATTCAATCACAAGATGAATTAATAATTTACAAAGATTGGAACTGTTCTGGAAACGAAATGCTCTTTGGAGAAAAATACAATGATTTTAATAATCGTTTATTTAAGGTGGCTCCACACATCGTCATCAGCGTCCATTTTCGTGACGTACTTCCGGGAAAAAGTATAGTTCCGACTCAATTAACTTGATGGAAATGTGCATGTACACCGTGTCGTCATTTACGTATTGCGTATCGGGCATTCAATATCGTAGTGCAAATTATAGTAACACCTGGGTCGATTTCGTTTAAACGGTCAAACCGATAGGACCACTGTTGTTCGTTTATTAAGTAAGGTCGGACCTAGTAATCTGATGCTGCTTTCAGGCGAGCCTTGAGAAAGCCTTGCAATGCCTGCATACACATGTGCAGGTCCGCCAGGATTTATACCCGCAATTGTTACATTTATAAACGGTCAAACCGGTTGTTCCGCATAAACGAACAGGCCCCTGGTAAACAATAGTACACGTGCGTGCCAATGATATGTCAAAACCCGATATCGAGATTTTACCGGGGAATGTATAATCACACGTACTTCAGAAATAAAGCTTTCCAATTCATAGACATAAACAGACTCACGGGAAGACGGTGACATGAGACCAGACGACCTCAAGAAGGTCATATAGGAAACACATGGAATGCGGACGTACCGACCTTACATGTGCATATCACGTGCTTACACGAGTTCATAAGCTCGAGGTCGTTACGATTTTCGCAGTTGAGCGAGTTTCACTCTGTCGATTAAACGTTTTAACAAATGTAGTCTTCTCACTCTGTGAAAATGATGTTTTGTTAAATATCAAGATCCCTATCGTACACGTGAGAACGGCATACCATGCGATAGCCTCTGGTCACATATGTACCTGACATGTAGTTATAAATGTACCGTGAGTGAGCGGACTGTGGAATGATGTCCAAAGTGTACATGACTGAGAGTAATTTGGTTCCATTAAAGAACAATAAATTGGTAATTTTGATATCATGTTTTTGATTTATTTCCATCATTTTGTTATATGTAAACAGAGACAACTGGTATTGTGTAAATTTTATCCCTCTGCAAAAAGTTCCGATTGTTTTCAAGTAAGATCACTCTCACCCGGAAAAAAGTGATTGTAAAATGTAAAATGAATTAATTATAAAGCCATTGTGTATATTTTGTTAAATTTCCCACTCTATATGTATAGATCTTTGTGTCCTGTTTGCTTTTAGGTTGTAGATAATCACTTTTATCCGTACAAATTCAATAAAAAAAAACACTTTGTGTAACATGTGTTACATATTTTGCGATAAATAAAACATTTGTAGGGTTTATTAGAAATGCTTATTTTCATTTGTTTATCATTGTTATTGGTCCGAACAATGCCACACACACAAAAAAAACGTAAAATATTAAAATTGACGAAAATTCAATTTTTTGGGACTTTTTTGGAAAAAATTCCCAAAACTATCGGAATGTTTAGATTTTCATAAAATCAACTCTACATAAATGCATAACCATTATAAGAAAGTTTCAACGAATTTTGCTGGTCAATTGCGAAAGTGTGGAGCCACCTTAACTCGTAAATTTGCTTTTATCTAGATATAGTTACTATCATAAACTTTAGAATTTTCTCACAAAAGCATCATGATGGTTTTTAGCAAGAACATCACCCATCAGACAGAAGATTATTCAGAAAGCACGTATAGAAATTGCTTTCCTCGTCCATCTTCATACTCTTTTTTGCACATTCGGATCATTTCCTTGGTTTGTGTTTCAGCATCGCAAAGTAACCCAACATCATTATTTGTTAATTTTCTTGCGGAATTTTGTACCTCGTAGGCGTAACTTGATTCATGTGTACATTAGCCATCTTCAGTCGTTTAGCTGGTCTGTCCTTCCTACTTGCTTCATTACGACAAGAGCTTAAACAAAAACAACAAAATCATCAAAATATCTAAAAGTTATTTGACGTTGCACCGTCATACCGTTATACGTTGTATTATGTGTTTTAATATAAAACAGTTCGTAGTGCGAATATGCCCTACAGATACATAGTTAATTGTCTATCAATTTAATATTTCATTAACTACAGGTCACTTTGTGTGGATCTTGAAATCTTAGGGATTACCTATAGTGAAGGATGATGCACAATATATGGTCTATTACCCTGATGAAGTAAAGATTCAGCACAGACTGACCTGTAACAGCTAAAAACAATTGAGTTATCTCCCCTATACCATCATTTATCAATACATACAAATGCATCTCTACATTTTTGAGATAACTGCATTACCTGCTGTATGTCCTTTTGAAATGCCATTTTGAATTTTTAAAAAAATGTTAAAAAGGAATTATCTCTACAGTGTTGTATAAGTATATGGAATTACAACAAAATAATGATTGACCTTCGAAAAAGGAGTTGTGTAGCATACAGATACATTGTATAGGTATATTTTCAAACTTGTTATCATTCAATCTCAAGATAAATTAATAGTTTACAAAGATTGGAACTGTTTTGGAAACGAAATGCTCTTTGGAGAAAAGTGCAATGATTTTAATAATAGTTTAACTCGTAAATTTCTTTTATCTAGATATAGTTATTATCATAGACATTAGAATTTTCTTACAGAAGCTTCATGATGGTTTTTAGCACGATCATCACCCATCAGACAGAAGACTATTTAGAAAGCACGTATTGAAATAAATTAAAGTGAATTTCTCTTATGTTACCGAATTTTCATCAGATGTCATTTCTGAGTTTTGCTCGTATATAAATTACAGCTTTTGTTGAATTGCGATAAAAAATGAGTTCTTTTTTAAATAATGCAAATCGGTAAAATATTTTTATCTAATCAACGTGCATTTTAACCTTTGCTATATATACTATGACCCATATGATCCAACGCCATACACAACATCAATTGTTTAGAAAACAGCTATCGCTGACCATCAGTAATAATTGCCAAGACTAAATCTTCCACTGCGTCCTCTGTGCCAATATCACCGGTAGCATTTTCCTGCAGAAATGTATACACATTCCTCCGAAATTCTCTCAATCGTGATTCAAATGAATCTGCTCTGATTCCTGAATTTGTTACCTTTTGTGCTGCCTCCTGAAGATGTCTTCCTGCCATAGCTACCTTTTGCTGGCTAATTTCTTCTCTTCTCAACGATTCCTCTATTTTTCTACCAGCCTCTTCTACCTTTCTATTAGCATCTTCCAACATTCTATTAGCCTGTTCTCTCTCTGTATTAGCCTGTAAACAACAAAAATCATAAAAAATATCTAAAGGTTATTTGACGTTGCACCGTTATACGTTGTATAATGTGTTTTAATATAAAACAGTTCGTAATGCGAATATACCCCACAGATACATAGTTAATTGTCTATCAATTTAATATTTCATTAACTACAGGTCACTTTGTGTGGATCTTGAAATCCTAGGGATTACCTTTAATGAAGGATGATGGACAATATATGGTCTATTACCCTGATGAAGTAAAGATTCAGCACAGACTGACCTGTAACAGCTAAAAACATTGGAGTCACTCCCCTATACCATCACTTGTTAATACATACAAATGCATCTCTACATCTTTTACAGGAGACAACTGATATAGGCATTACCTGCTGTATGTCCTTTTGAAATGCCATTTTGAATAAAAAAAACATTGTTGAAAAGAAATGATATCTGCATTGTTGTAAAATTATACGGAATTACAACAAAATAATGATTGACCTTCGAAAAAGGAGTTGTGTAGCATACAAATACATGGTATAGGTATAATTTCAAACTTGTTATCATTCAATCTCAAGATAAATTAATAGTTTACAAAGATTGGAACTGTTTTGGAAACGAAATGCTCTTTGGAGAAAAATGCAATGATTTTAATAATAATTTAACTCGTAAATTTCTTTTATCTAGACATAGTTACTATCATAAACATTAGAATTTTCTTACATAAGCTTCATGATGGTTTTTAGCACGATCATCACCCATCAGACAGAAGTTTATTCAGAAAGAACGTATTGAAATAAATTAAAGCGAATTTCTCTTATGTTACCGAATTTTCATCAGATGTCATTTCTGAGTTTTGCGCGTATATAAATTACAGCTTTTGTTGAATTGCGATAAAAAATGAGTTCTCTTTTAAATAATGCAAATCGGTAAAATATTTTTATCAAATCAACGTACATTTCAACCTTTGCTATATATACCATGACCCATATGACCCAACGCCATACACAACATCAATTGTTTAGAAAACAGCTATCGCTGACCATCAGTAATAATTGCCAAGACTAAATCTTCCACTGCGGGCTCTGTGCCAATATCACCCGTGGCATTTTCCTACAGAAATGTACACACATTCCTCCGAAATTCTCTCGATCGTGATTCAAATGAATCTGCTCTGATTCCTGAATCTGTTACCTTTTGTGCTGCCTCCTGAAGATGTCTTCCTGCCATAGCTACTTTTTGCTGGCTAATTTCTTCTCTTCTCAACGATTCCTCTATTTTCCTACCAGCCTCTTCTACCTTTCTATTAGCATCTTCCAACTTTCTATTAGCCTGTTCTCTCTCTGTATTAGCCTGTAAACAACAAAAATCTTGAAAATATCTAAAGGTTATTTGACGTTGCACCGTCATACCGTTATACGTTGTATAATGTGTTTTAATATAATACAGTTCGTAATGCGAATATGCCCTACAGATACATAGTTAATTGTCTATCAATTTAATATTTCATTAACTACAGGTCACTTTGTGTGGATGTTGAAATCCTAGGGATTACCTATAATGAAGGATGATGGACAATATATGGTCTATTACCCTGATGAGGTAAAGATTCAGCACAGACTGACCTGTAACAGCTAAAAGCATTGGAGTCACTCCCTTATACCATCACTTTTAATACATACAAATGCATCTCTACCTTTTTTTTAGGAGACAACTAATATAGGCATTACCTGCCGTATGTCCTTTTGAAATGCCATTTTGAATAAAAAAAACATTGTTGAAAAGAAATGATATCTGCAGTGTTTTAAATTATACGGAATTACAACAAAATAATGATTGACCTTCGAAAAAGGAGTTGTGTAGCATACAGATACATTGTATGGGTATATTTTCAAACTTGTTATCATTCAATCTCAAGATAAATTAATAGTTTACAAAGATTGGAACTGTTTTGGAAACGAAATGATCTTTGGAGAAAATGCAATGATTTTAATAATAGTTTAACTCGTAAATTTCTTTTATCTAGATATAGTTACTATCATAAACATTAGAATTTTCTTACAGAAGCTTCATGATGGTTTTTAGCACGAATATCACCCATCAGACAGAAGATTATTCAGAAAGCACGTATTGAAATAAATTAAAGTGAATTTCTCTTATGTTACCGAATTTTCATCAGATGTCATTTCTGAGTTTTGCGCGTATATAAATTACAGCTTTTGTTGACATCAGATAAGAAATGAGTTCTTTTTTAAATAATGCAAATCGGTAAAATATTTTTATCAAGTCAACGTACATTTCAACCTTTGCTATATATACCATGACCAATATGACCCAACGCCATACACAACATCAATTGTTTAGAAAACAGCTATCGCTGACCATCAGTAATAATTGTCAAGACTAAATCTTCCACTGCGTCCTCTGTGCCAATATCACCCGTGGCATTTTCCTGCAGAAATGTACACACATTCCTCCGAAATTCTCTCAATCGTGATTTAAATGAATCTGCTCTGATTCCTGAATCTGTTACCTTTTGTGCTGCCTCCTGAAGATGTCTTCCTGCCATAGCTACCTTTTTCTGGCTAATTTCTTCTCTTCTCAACGATTCCTCTATTTTCCTACCAGCCTCTTCAACCTTTCTATTAGCATCTTCCAACTTTCTATTAGCCTGTTCTCTCTCTGTATTAGCCTGTAAACAACAAAAATCATAAAAAGATCTAAAGGTTATTTGACGTTGCACCGTCATACCGTTATACGTTGTATAATGTGTTTTAATATAATACAGTTCGTAATGCGAATATGCCCTACAGATACATAGTTAATTGTCTATCAATTTAATATTTCATTAACTACAGGTCACTTTGTGTGGATGTTGAAATCCTAGGGATTACCTATAATGAAGGATGATGGACAATATATGGTCTATTACCCTGATGAGGTAATGATTCAGCACAGACTGACCTGTAACAGCTAAAAACATTGGAGTTATCTCCCCTATACCATCACTTATTAATACATACAAATGCATCTCTACATTTTTTACAGGAGACAACTGATATAGGCATTACCTGCTGTATGTCCTTCTGAAATGCCATTTTGAATAAAAAAAAAACGTCGTTGAAAAGAAATGATATCTGCAGTGTTGTAAAATTATATGGAATTACAACAAAATAATGATTGACCTTCGAAAAAGGAGTTGTGTAGCATACAGATACATTGTATGGATATATTTTCAAACGTGTTATCATTCAATCTCAAGATAAATTAATAGTTTACAAAGATTGGAACTGTTTTGGAAACGAAATACTCTTTGGAGAAAAATGCAATGATTTTAATAATAGTTAAACTCGTAAATTTGCTTTTATCTAGATATAGTTACTATCATAAACATTAGAATTTTCTTATAGAAGCTTCATGATGGTTTTTAGCACGAATATTACCCGACAGACAGAAGATTATTCAGAAAGCACGTATTGAAATAAATTAAAGTGAATTTCTCTTATGTTACCGAATTTTCATCAGATGTCATTTCTGAGTTTTGCGCGTATATGAATTACAGCTTATGTTGAATTGCAATAAGAAATGAGTTCTGTTTTAAATAATGCAAATCGGTAAAATATTTTTATCAAGTCAACGTACATTTCAACCTTTGCTATATATACCATGACCCATATGATTCAACGCCATACACAACAACAATTGTTTAGAAAACAGCTATCGCTGACCATCAGTAATAATTGCCAAGACTAAATCTTCCACTGCGGGCTCTGTGCCAATATCACCCGTCGCATTTTCCTGCAGAAATGTTTACACATTCATCCGAAATTCTCTCCTGAAGATGTCTTCCTGCCATATCTACCTTTTGCTGGCTAATTTCTTCTCTTTTCAACGATTCCTCTATTTTTCTACCAGCCTCTTCTACCTTTCTATTAGCATCTTCCAACTTTCTATTAGCCTGTTCTTTCTCTGTATTAGCCTGTTCTCTCTCTGTATTAGCCTGTAAACAAACAAAAAAATGAGTTATCTCCCCTATTCCATCACTTATTAATACATACAAATGTATCTCTACATATTTTACAGGAGATAAATGATATAGGCATTACCTGCTGTATGTCCTTTTAAAATGCCATTTTGAATAAAAAGAAATGTCAAAAGAAATGATCTCCTCTGCTACCTTTCTATTAGCATCTTCCAACTTTCTATAAGCCTGTTCTCTCTCTGTATTAGCTTGTTCTCTCTCTGTATTAGCCTGTTCTCTCTCTGTATTAGCCTGCTCTCTCTCTGTATTAGCCTGTAAACAAACAAAAACACACAAAAAATCTAAAAGATATTTAACGTTGCACCGTCTTACCGTTTTACGTTGTATAATGTGTTTTAATATAATACAGTTCGTAATGCGAATATACCCCACAGATACATAGTTAATTGTCTATCAATTTAATATTTCATTAACTACAGGTCACTTTGTGTGGATGTTGAAATCCTAGGGATTACCTATAGTGAAGGATGATGGACAATATATGATCTATTACCCTGATGAAGTAAAGATTCATCACTGGCTGACCTGTAACCGCTTAAACAATGGAGTTATCTCCCCTATACCATCACTTATTAATACATACAAATGCATCTCTACATCTTTTAAGTGAGATAACTGATATAGGCATTACCTGCTGTATGTCCTTTTAAAATACCATTTTGAATAAAAATAAATGTTGAAAAGAAATGATCTCATCTGCTACCTTTCTAATAGCATCTGCCAACTTTCTATTAGCCTGTTTGCTCTCTGTATTAGCCTGTTTTTTCTCTGTATTGGGCTGTTCTTTCTCTTTATAAAACTCCTTTATCTTTCTTTCAGCCCTTTCTACCTTTTTATTGGCCTCTTCTAACTTTCTATTACTTTCATCCACTTTTTGCATGACCTCCGTTGGTTTTTTTGTCATGCCCACTCTTCTCTTCTTTTCTGTCTCTTCTTTATTGCACGTTCGGACTAATTCCTTGGCTATTGTTTCAGCAAAGTTATCCAACATCATTACTTGTTCATTCTCCTGCGGAATATTGTTACTCGTAAGCGTAATTTGATTTATGCCTACAGTACCCATCTTCAGTCGTTTAGCTGGTGTTTCCATCCTACTTGCTTCATTACGGCAAGAGCTAAAACAAAAAATAATTTTCAATTCATATGGAAACATATTTACATCTTGTATTCTTTATTATTACCTTAAGTTGAATCTAAGGTTTTAAGATTAGTAATTATTCCTGGGTATAATTTCCATTTGTACAACCGAAACTTGTATATCTGTATTTGTCATTAAACTAGAAGGCATTAATAAAATCAATATTAAGTGCATGTATATGATCTTTATAATCAGCTTCTTTTATTATATACATATACTTAAGTGTTTTATTATTTTCTTATTTTAGATATTCATTTAGGACCAAGGAGACTGGCGAAATTCTTAAGAGAAAGTATGCTGATGAGAGCAGGTTCATGGAAAGGTATAATTAACTATCAATTTCTGTTAAATGATAGTACAATAGATTTCGATTAATATCACTTCTAATTTGTCAACTAAAACCATGACATTAACCGGAACTTGACATAAAGAGAAAACATGTTTTTCTGACCATTTCAGCTGTCAAAACCCGGCAGTGACCATATTTAAATGTCAAAGTGATATGGTTTTAGCACAGACTTAGACAGCATTTTTCCATGGTTTTTATCTAAATATCATACTTATTTTTGATTTTCAGTAAGCCACTAGTGACAGCAGATCACGATCAAACAAAAGATATTGGTGTGCATACAGATTTGGAGACTGTCAGTTTAAGTACGCAGTGGTGTGACAACAGTCTACAAGATCATGCATACCATGTACAAGTACAAGTACCAGGCAATTGTGTTAGCCATTGTGATGCCAGTACTCAAGCACCATCAAAATCACATGTATCAAAAGGTGTAAATAGTAAAACAACTCATGTAAACATGTCTTGTGAAAAGCTGAATATAGATTCAGAGTCTCATCTGTATACAGGTCTATGTTTACAAGCATTAGTCACTCTTGTGCGCGTTTTCCAAACCATGGAATCACCATTCAAATTCACAATGAATGTGGGAGACCAGCTACTCTTGTTTTTGATGAGACAGAGACTTAATCTTCTTTTTGCAGATTTAGGCCATAGATTTGGCAACAGTCAAAGTCAAGCTTCAAAAATCTTTAATTGTTGGTTGCCAGTTATTAGTTGTAAGCTTCAACAATTGATTTTGTGGTTACCTCGGGAAACCATACGTGCATCTATGCCATCAGCTTTCAAGGAGAAATATCCCAATACTACAGTTATCATAGACTGTGCAGAAACTTCCATACAGAGACCAAAAAATTTGAAGACAATGGGTGAAACACACAGTCATTATAAATCACACAATACAGTGAAGTACTTGATAGGTATTGCTCCTCATGGTCACATTATTATCATTTCTAAAGGCTTTTGTGGAAGAGCTAGTGACAAGTTTATAGTAGAAAAGTATGGTTTTCTGCAATATCTGTTACCTGGAGATGAAGTAATGGCTGACATTTTACAAATAATGACTTATTATTTCCACTTATAGTTAAACTGAATATGCCTGCATTCACCAAAGGAAAACCACAGTTGTCCGAGACACAAGACACAGAAACAAGGCGTATTGCACATGTAAGAATACATGTGGAACAAGCTATTAGAAGGCTGAAAGTGTTTAAAATTTTGATCAATATTTTGCCTGTAACTTCTGTAAAAAAAACTTGATGATATTCTGATTGTGTGCTCAGCACTAGTAAATCTAGGGCCTGCATTAATAAAGGATCTCCGAGATGAAAAAGATGACAGTGATGATGAGTAACATTTGAAATAAAGTTTCAGGTCAACTCTTTGAATCTGTTCTGTCTGTTGAGATATAAACACAAAAATATCCAGCTTTACGTGCTTGTAGGTTTTCATTTGTTAAATTATATTACAAAATATTTGAAATACAAGTTTTAACTTAAAGAGATATTCAGAACAGATTTTAACTTAACAGAAGTTTAAACTCACCAGAATGTACTACAGATTGATTTTTTATGGATGCAAAAAAAGTCCTAAAGTGCTCAATTAAAACGTGAATTTCACACCCTAGGGTCATCTGTTCCTCACTGGGGAGAAGTAAATTGACTATATTACTTCATTTTTTCCCCTGACAATTATCAATATCACAACAACGAACAACAATTGTATAACAACTGTGGTGACCTTTAAGGCCCATGGGCCTCTTGGTATATTGCTATATTGTATCACAGATTGTTTCAATTCTCATTTGTTGCATAGAGATATACATTTTTACACTCCTTATGTAAAGTTAATGCAGATCCTACCCATTTTGGTGGGCAGATACTTTTTTGTGTTCTAGAAGTTACAGAGGTTACAATGTAATTATTGTGGCTTTAAATATCTTTATGTTAATGTTAGTCAATCTTTGATTTCTGCCAGATTCTTGATTGGCTATTCTCAAAAATGAACATGAGAATGTACTAGATTTTTTTTTTTAAACTGTTACAAGTTTATTTACTTGTAACAGTAACACTCTTGTAATGGTGAATACATGCAATTTTTCATATTTCAACAGAAAATGAATAACAGGTATTTTATTTTCTCCGACTCATTTGTTATCAGTCCTTAATGCAAATAGTTTTGTATTCAGCAGTTAATTGAAACCTAGCAGATTCAAAATCATCAACAATTCTTGGCAGACATTTCTGAAGGTAGAATTTCCTTAATCTTGGGATTTCTTTTCTACAGAAGTCCACATCATAACTAACTCAATCTCCTGATATTCTCCTGGTGTCCATATTACTAATTTGCAATTTTGCAAGTTGCAAACATGAAGGGTTAGTTGAACTTAAAGATAATAGCCTTTGCTGCCTCTTTGTTTTAGCTGATTTGTGTCATTGATCCTTAATACATCGTATTTTCCTGAATGAAAGTAAGCTTCTAAGGAATCATATACACAGCTTAACAAAGGACACTTAATCTCGAGTAAGTAGTTTCCTAGTGTGCCCGCTGCCATCAGGAGACCTAGAAATCCATGGATCATTGTGTGATACAACAGTTCCAGAGTCTGAAATATTCATCCCATTTTCCCGAAGTAATGTTTTCGCTTAAATTTCTCCAATATTTCCATGTTCAGTGTATTTATTTCCCATGAATGATGGATTCATTTGCTCACGTATAAAATTATCAGGGTTTGTTGTATCCCTAACTGGTACTTTATGTGCAGTGCTACCTGTAATTTTCATCTTCCTACTATCCTTCCAGATAAGTGATCTAGCCTGTGTAGTGGTGCTTTTGTTTATCTGCGTTTCTGTAAGTTGTATAAACTGTTTATAAAACTCACAACACTTGTCACAAGAACATTGACCTTCACCAAATGAATGAACTCCATGGAGTGCCGGGCTTAATACTTGATGAGGTGTGGCAGTAACAGATGTATATATAGTACTGTTTTCAAGCATGAATACATCTTTCACATCTGAAGTTTCAACAAAGGCCTTGTACTCAATGTGACTCGCGAACATCTTGAATTCTGACTTATCCCTGTCTTCTTCTATTCCATCACTATCACTACCAAACTCACTCTCATCTTTGTTTCTTTTATGCTTCTTGAAATCCATGCTATTAATTGAGCGAGGTTCGATATTTCTCATTGTTCCTTTGTTCTATTTCATTTGATCATCTGTACAAACTTTTCCAGTCAAATTCATTCTCACGACATATTCAATTTTCCACAAAAGTGCCCCGACATGACTACACGTTCTGCTTTTACCAGTAATACACGTACATTCTCCCGTTTGTTACACAACACCCAAGGTAAATGATAATCTTGGTTTGCCTTTTGAGACGGCTTCACCTCCAATGTTAGCAATACTAAGTCGTCATCTACATTAACGTGAACAATTCTACATACAGATCCACTCTGAAAATAGTTGAAACTATCCAAATATTTAAAGTTTTCCATATCATCGCTATCTAGCGCCCGACTGTGTACCAAGTAATTGTAAATGTTACGGTAAAAAAACAGTCGGCCACTTTCGCATAGCATCTTTCCATTGAGCCGGTTCGATAGAATCAGGACGAGTGTCGACAGATTTCCGATGTTTAGAATGAGACATTGTAGTTCCTATGGTGTTATTATGCCGAATTCGTTAATAGTTCCATACAATTTAACTTACATATTCGCTGCAGAAAATTGAGTAATTTGCGCCTCCAACTTTATTGTTGTCAATTACGGTCGTAATGGAGGCCGATTTTAACGCCCCTGTATCAAAATATGAGAACCAACGAGGAGATTACTGAAAAAAAGGTGTCTATAGTGTAAATATAAACCTTTGCTGGTAGAGGGGTTCGTGAGATATCTGGTACACACAAGCTTTTTACTTCGTAAAAGATATAATCAAATTGTGTCTTAAATCATTATATTTTAATAAGAGAGTTAACATATTATATCAGCTAACTTTAATATTTCAAACACAAAATTACGAAAATGAAATAAACTAGATTCAATCCGAAGTAGGGACTTCGTGGATGACCTGGAGTGTAAAAAGAATCACCATATAATCCCCATTTTAGCAGAAATTATAATCTGTTTCTAGGTAAAACAGTAACCTACCTTGGAGATGGTGTCACTGCTGTAGAAATGTCCATTACGTCCTATGAAGAAATATACATTCCTGTTGCGATTATTCAGTATTGGTGTTGCTTTAGTAGGACAAATATCAATAGCGACTTTATTATACTAATGAAAAGTGGATTTATTAAAACACACTAAGTTTTTAAAAAGTAGATTTTGGAATAAAAAGGCTCAAAAGATTAATTTTCATTTTAAGAAAAATGTTTTCATAATGCAGTATTGCAGACTGAATTATATGAACGGATCAGATATAAATCTACATAACTATCCTTCGTTTGATTCTGGTCGGTTTTCCGGTGGAGGCATTCTTTCATTAACTGTTTGACTTCTGTTATCGTTATTCGCCAGTATTAGATTGATTTGTAATATTAAAGGCTGCAAACGGCAATACAGGTACACTAAGTTTGGTTAAGTAGGATTTGATATAATTATGGTCAGATTCATTATTTTCCTTTGAAAAAGAAAGATAAATTTTGAACACAACATTTCAACGACTTATTTGCGCATATAAAAAAAAATCTTCATACCTCTCCTGCAAGGATGTTCTCCACTTGATCCATACCTTCATTTACTGTTTGACTTCTGTTAAGGTTGTTCACTAATGACTGCCTTGATTGCGTTCCTGACTTCTGAAAATGATGATAAGGAAAACTAATTACTTATCTGATAATTGATTCAAAGTTTTCTTACGATGGAGAAACACCAGACTGTGTGAAGGATTCATGTTATTCAAACACAGAGGATTTAGCAATTGATTAAAAATTCAATTTGAAGGATCGCAAATATCACTGAAACATTTATAGCAACTACTCTAACCAAAATCATTTTTGTTAGGTTTTTTTTTCCTTCAAATACACCGTGTTTGATGATCAGATGTAGACTATAGTAGAAGTTCTTGGTACGACCGTCAAAGAAAACGCTATCATAAAATACAACATCCGCGATAGCAATGATTTTAAGACGCTCTTTTCAACAAACAGAAACACAGTAACCGTTCAATTTATTGTATCGTAATTTTAAAAGCGAAGTTATTTCATAGTATAAACATGGATATGGGCAATAAAAATGCAAGACCACACACTTGTGTTTTTCTAACGAATCAGAAAGTACGAGTTTATTGCGCGGACGAATATATTCACGAGTGCGCGGAGCGCACGAGTCAATACATACGTCCGCGAAATAAATGAGTGCTTTCTGATTCGTTAAAAAACACAAGTATGTGGTCTTGCTTTTATCACATTCCTTTCGTGTTTGGTGGAGATCGATACAAAGGTTTTATAAACTTTGATATTTTTTGCAAATACTGGGAACTTTTCAGTTCGCCATGACAAGGGGATTCCCATAAAAAGAAGTTCCGGCTAGTAGGTAAATACATCATTCCGTATTGCACATGTGAAATACAGAACGTTGTATTTGATGGTCTGAAAATTGCTTGTATTACTATAACAAGATTCAACAGGTATATGGTAAAATGTACTAGATATATAGGTAGATGTTTGGGCAAGAATCCAAATATGCAATTTCCGAGCTCGATAGGCAATAAACAAAGACAATAAATAGTTTCAAGTACTTACCTCCCGTTGTAATCGTTGTTGGTTCATCTTCCTAAAATGATAATCATGTTCATATTTGAGTATTTGTATCTAACATGATGTAGAGAAAATATTTTATGTAACCATTAGAACCATTACGTTAATCAACAATTAAAACAATTACGTTAATTAACCATTCGAACCATTACGTCAATTTACCATTAGAACCACTAAATGCATTAACCATTATAGCCATTACGTTAATTAACCATTAGAACCATTACCTCAATTGCGATAATAACGTTGAAATAACATTTTCTTTGCTATTTTGTACGTGAAGATAAGGATTAAAATGCGTTTTTTGGTCATTAATGATGGTATGCAACATAGCTCTGATCAAACAATTTTTTTAATATGCGCCACGTTATTACCGTAGTGTTTTTTTTGTTATTGGATTGTAATACAAAACATTTTCTGTTGGTAGGTTTATGTTAGGGCTGTACAAAGGAATTGTGAATATAATCAAATAAGCCTTACTCTTTCAATATATAACGCTGTTTCCATTTGAGAATTACGATAGCATATTTCAAAGGTGCGCTACCGCGCATTATGGAAAATGTTTGAACGGAGCTGTGCTGCATACTTTTAATGATAAAAAATGCATTTCATTCTTCAAATATTATTGGATTTTCAAAACTAATTAGAAGAAAGTGAAAATTTCTGCACGCAAACATGATAATTTATTATTTATCAGGATTGTTTCATAATAAATGATTTATTACACGGACAAATCATACATACATTTTCCTGTACTTTCGTCTTTTTTCTTCCTCGACATCTTCGGTCTCTTCTTCCTCCTCTATATCACAACGACTACGACATGTATAGAGAAAATAGATTGAATATAATAATGGCCCAAAGAAGACATTAGGGTTATTTTTATTTTATATTTACACACTTTTATAGTAGATACTACACTTACAATATATAATCAGAAATACATTTACTACTTACTTGTATTGGGGGTCTTCATTATTGCGACAATACCATTTTAAGGGGAGATCTTCTGCTTGTACTCCATTGCGCAGGCGCCGCCATTTATTGCAGTTATCACACTGGACCCAATTGCCAAAGGGCTTATCATTGTTTTTCAGGGTATCCTCCCTGCAATACCACCAGGTACCAGTTTCAGCAATAAACAAATCGGATTTACTTATTTACTTATACCTTATTATCAACCATAACATGCATCCCATATCTAAAAGTGCTTGATTCTAAGAAACTGTAAATTTTCTGTCATGGTACACGTAGTTTGGACTATTTTAATTGTTTGATGACACATTTGAAAATCACATAGGAACGCAATGGCGAATTGAACAATGTTTACGATGTTATAAACTTCTAATACAATTCAAAGGTATTATCTGTTAAGTAAATATATTTAGATTTGTCCAAGTTATATCCAGTTTAAGTATGAAAATATTAACTACTGATAATTCATTTAAAGTTCACATATAATAAATGGACAAATTTCTACGATATAGTTTTCCATTATTTCCATTATTCTTTGGATTTACCACAAACAATTATAAAACACTGTATTTTTTGCTTTTATTTGTAGAATATTGAACGTTTAATTTCCATGCATTAATTTCTTTATTTTTGTCAATTATTTATCTAACTTGAAAATATTTAAAAAAAAAAAAAAAAAAAAAAAAATATTAACATATCTTTCTTCTAGGGCTGACTTACATGTCGACAGCATTGCCTTTTTTCACGTTCCAATAATCTCTCAGTTTTTTTGATATATTATCCATTAAGGTGCTGAAATACATAATTTGACAAAAGAATCATACAAAGCCGCATGTCGGATATAACGCACATACTGTGCATATTGGTCTTTATATTAATTTGTTGAATTTGAACAGTTTATGCTTCATTTTTGAGTGTCATATGAATTCAACGAAAATTACGTAAATTGTACTTCCATGTTCACGTGTAGAATAGCTAAAACATATTTGGAAAAAAACTTAACATTTAATTTTTTCTTCTTGATTTTTTTCATAGACACCGAAGGGAAGAATGTAATCTTCATCACGACTGTAAATATCACACATTGGTTCTCCTGAACGTGGTATGCTCCAGTTTCCACATAAGAACGTTCTAATGCATTGGTTTTGTAATATATTAACATCTAGCGTACAATTCTTATTATACTTTTCCATATGCATCACACGGAATCGAAAATAAGATTCCCTATCACTCAGAAAAGTTTACCTGTATTTGGCATCACGGATGAAGTCCTGTTTGTTGTTTATGACTTCGAGAGCGTTGGCCTCCACCACAGCAATCACATCATTTCCAAAGTCGTTTGTCTGTAAACAAAATCACAACAATTATATTAATACCAACGCCGTCTGAATGTAACACGGAACACAGTGATCACACCAGTAAACACATCTCAACAGTGTAGACAGACATACTGATTACACCAATACCAACACAGTCTGACTGTAACACGGGACACAGTGATCACGCCAGTAATAACATCTCATCAGTGTAGACAGACATACTGATTACACCAATACCAACACAGTCTGACAGTAACACGGGACACAGTGATCACACCAGTAAAAACATCTCATCAGTGTAGACAGACATACTGATTACACCAATACCAACACAGTCTGACAGTAACACGGGACACAGTGATCACACCAGTAAAATCATCTCAACAGTGTAGACAGACATACTGATTACACCAATACCAACACAGTCTGACAGTAACACGGGACACAGTGATCACACCAGTAAAATCATCTCAACAGTGTAGACAGACATACTGATTACACCAATACCAACACCGTCTGACTGTAACACGGGACACAGTGATCACACCAGTAATACCATCTGATCATTGTAGACAGATATACTGATTACATCAATACCAACACCGTATGACTGTAACACGGGACACAGTGATCACACCAGTAAAAACATCTCATCAGTGTAGACAGACATACTGATTGACTGTAACACGGGACACAGTGATCACCCCAGTAATATCATCTGCCCAGTGTAGACAGACATATTGATTACAATACTGATTACATCAATACGAACGCCGTCTGACTGCAACACGGGACACAGTGATCACACCAGTAATAACATCTGATCAGTGTAGACAGACATAATTATTACACCAATACCAACGCCGTCTGACTGTAACACGACACAGTGATCACACCAGTAATAACATCTGACCAGTGTAGACAGACATATTGATTACATCAATACCAACGCCGTCTGACTGTAACACGGGACACAGTGATCACACCAGTAATAACATCTCATCAGTGTAGACAGACATATTGATTACATCAATACCAACACCGTCTGACTGTAACACGGGACACAGTGATCACATCAGTAATAACATCTGACCAGTGTTGACAGACATATTGATTACATCAATACCAACACCGTCTGAATGTAACACGGGACAAAGTGATCACACCAGTTATAACATCCGACCAGTGAAGACAGACATACTGATTACATCAATACCAACGCCGTCTGACTGTAACACGACACAGTGATCACACCAGTAATAACATATCATCAGTGTAGACAGACATACTGATTACATCAATACCAACGTTGTCTGACTGTAACAAGGGACACAGTGATCACACCAGTAATAACATCTCATCAGTGTAGACAGACATACTGATTACATTAATAACGCAGTCTGACTGTAACACGGGACACAGTGATCACACCAGTAATAACATCTCATCGGTGTAGACAGACATACTGATTACATCCATACCAACGCCGGCTGACTGTAACACGGGACACAGTGATCACAACAGTAATAACATCTGACCAGTTTAGACAGACATACTGATTACATTAATAGCGCAGTCTGACTGTAACACGGGACACATTGATCACACCAGTAACAACATCTCACCAGTGTAGACAGGATATACTGATTACATCAATACCAACACAGTCTGACTGTAACACGGGACACATTGATCACACCAGTAATAACATCTTATGAGTGTAGACAGACATACTGATTACATCAATACCAACACCGTCTGACTGTACCACGGGGCACATTGATCACATCAGTAATAACATCTAATCAGTGTAGACAGACATACTGATTACATCGATACCAACACCGTCTGACTGTAACACGGGACACATTGATCACACCAGTAATAACATCTGATGAGTGTAGACAGACATACTGATTACATCAATACCAACGCGGTCTGACTGAAACACGGGACACATTGATCACACCAGTAACAACATCTCACCAGTGTAGACAGACATACTGATTACATCAATACAGACCGCCGTCTGACTGTAACACGGGACACAGTGAACACACCAGTAATAACATATCATCAGTGTAAACAGACATATTGATTACATCAATACAGACCGCCGTCTGACTCTAACATAGGACACAGTGATCACACCAGTAATAACATCGCATCAGTGTAGACAGACATGCTGATTACATCAATACCAACCCCGTCTGACTGTACCACGGGGCACATTGATCACATCAGTAATAACATCTCATCAGTGTAGACAGATATAATGATTACATCAATACCAACGCAGTCTGACTGTAACACGGGACACATTGATCACACCAGTAATAACATCTGATGAGTGTAGACAGACATACTGATTACATCAATGCCAACGCCTGATGACTGTAGACAGACATATTGAGAACACCTATAACAGCAACTAGTGAGTGTAGACAGACATATTGATTTCACCAGCACAAATACCTGGTGAGTGTAGACAGACATATTGATCACACAAGTTCCAGCACCTGATGAGTGTAGACAGACATATTGATTACACCAGCACCAAAACCTGGTGAGTGTAGACAGACATATTGATTACACCAATAACATCACCTAGTGAGTGTAGACAGATATATTGATTACACAAGTTCCAGCACCTGATGAGTGTAGACAGGAATATTTATTACACAAGTTCCAGCACCTGATGAATGAAGACAGACATATTGATTACACCAGTACCAAAACCTAGTGAGTGTAGACAGACATATTGATTACACAAGTTCCAGCACCTGATGAGTGTAGACAGACATACTGATTACACCAGTACCAAAACCTGGTGAGTGTAGACAGACATATTGAATACACAAGTTCCAACACCTGATGAGTGTAGACAGACATATTGATTACACCAGTTCCTAAACCTGGTGAGTGTAGACAGTCATATTGATTACACAAGTTCCAGCACCTGATGAGTGTAGACAGGCATATTGATTACACAAGTTCCAGCACCTCATGAGTGTAGACAGACATATCGATTACACCAGTACTAAAACCTGGTGAGTGTAGACAGACATATTGATTACACAAGTTCCAACACCTGATGAGTGTAGACAGACATATTGATTACACCAGTACCAAAACCTGGTGAGTGTAGACAGACATATTGATTACACCAATAACAACACATGATGAGTGTAGACAGACATATTGATTACACCAATAACATCACCTAGTGAGTGTAGGCAGATATATTGATTACACCAGTACCAACACCTGGTGTGTGTAGACAGGCATATTGATTACACAAGTTCCAGCACCTGATGAGTGTAGACAGACATATCGATTACACCAGTACCAAAACCTGGTGAGTGTAGACAGACATATTGATTACACAAGTTCCAACACCTGATGAGTGTAGACAGACATATTGATTACACCAGTACCAAAACCTGGTGAGTGTAGACAGACATATTGATTACACCAATAACAACACATGATGAGTGTAGACACACATATTGATTACACCAATAACATCACCTAGTGAGTGTGTAGACACACATATTGATAACACCAATAACATCACATAGTGAGTGTAGGCAGATATATTGATTACACCAGTTCCAGCACCTGATGAGTGTAGACAGACATATTGATTACACCAGTACCAAAACCTGGTGAGTGTAGACAGACATATTGATTACACCAGTACCAATACCTGGTGTGTGTAGACAGACATATTGATTACACAAGTTCCAGCACCTGACGAGTGTAGACAGACATATTGATTACACCAGTACCAAAACCTGGTGAGTGTAGACAGACATATTGATTACACCAATAACAGCACCTAGTGAGTGTAGACAGATATATTGATTACACCAGTACCAACACCTGGTGTGTTTAGACAGACATATTGATTACACCAAAACAAGCATCGTCTGAATAAAAAAAGCACACAGTGAACAGATCACACCAGTATTAACACCTGATAAGTGTAGACAGACATATTTATTGATTACACCAGTAATTATACCTGATGTGTGTAGACATACATATATATTCATTACACCAGTTCCTGCAACTGATGTGTGTAGACATACATATATATTAATTACACCAGTTCCTGCAACTGATGAGTGTAGACACGTCATCACTTTGTGTAGCGTTACCAGAGTAAAGCACTAATACAATGTATTTTAACGATAAAATACAATTAATTCTTCCTGTGTGGTGAAAACACGGAAATATTTGTTACTGGTCAGATTTCGGTTTTTTTTAAATCATACAAAAATTCTGCTGTATCAACGACACAAATGAAGTATTTTGATTTCATTAGCAAATAAATAAAGAATATGGTCATTGAAGTCCTGGAAAGAACACAAATACTGTGTAAAGAATTTTTATACATTTTTACATGGTGGTGGCCATTTTGACGGAACGAAATACATTAAAACGTAAGATTAAAAGTAAGATTTTCATAACCACATGATATATGGCGTCAAATGTCGCGTAGATGTCACGTCATTACACTTAGTAGACCGAGGAAATCAGGTGAGAGATGGCCAAATCTTTTATTTGACCTTGACCTGGACAGATTTTTCTTATGTATTGATCGAGACATCAATGCCGACATTAGCGAAAGATTAGATATGTCTCTCGTTCGGTTTTCATAACTTGCGTCTTCAAAACTTATTTTTTAATACGTTTATGTGATAAAAGTGGTATAAACCAACATGTAACGTAAGACATTGTTTGGAATTTTGGAATACAGATCCTAGCAAAGGTTTTGGTTTCTCTTGACCAGGTCTTCTCCCGCGGATCACGACTATTGTTAACAAACAATAGGGAGGAGTGTTAATCAAAAGCGTTGTCTGCAAGTTAGGTTTACATTGATAAAATAGAACCGTTATAGACTTGGCACTCCAGAAGCAGCAATTTTATGCTCAATTTCAGACAAACCATTTCCCTCTGCGTTTAGTCTCCGGGGACAGGTTGCCTTGTATAGACAATAAATTTCCCTATAGTCATTTTATAACTGAACAATATTATCTTCATGATGTGTAATGCACAGTGGTAAACGACGGTCATTTGAACAATTAAGAGGGAATAACACTTCCCTTTCCTGTTACATATATCCATTAATACAGTAGTTATGCTCAGTGTTACCTGTTTTTGGCATCCTAGTTTCTCATAGGCTAGTATCAGGCGGTTGTAGTGGTACAGCATCGCTCCATAATCGTCAAAACGCGTCGACGCAAATCCAAATGTAATTGGAATTTTATTTGGCTTTGTATAACTAAGAAAACGGTAGTAATAGCATTGCTTCGTGTAGTTATTTCGTTGCCTTTTATTTAAACTTGTTTTTAAGATAAAATTCTTATCGTCCTAGTCTAAGGATCATTTTATGAAACGTTGGTAAAATTTGTAGTTTTCACTCCATGACCCCTTATAGATCCTGAGCCCCTTTCAGCTCCTTCTTTAGAACAAATTCTAATCAATATCTGAAGTAAAGCCATTTCAAATGTTTCAAATGTATGGCCACTTATAGTCCCATCCCTTAGTTCCTTGAGGATGCCAGCACTTCCCGAGTATAGACCTGTTTCACTGCATCTAAGGATATTATTTTGAAAATGGTGTTTAAATAAACTTTCTACTTCCAGAAGAGTGACCGCATATCGATGATAGCCATTATGTTTACATTTACATTTCAAAATACGAGGTTGAAGAATCTGATCGTGGGTTTCTTAGTCCAAGAAGCTTGACGCGTTATTGACCACGCTATTTTTCCATCATAATTAGTCACAAATGTTAATATAGTACCAGAAAATATTATCATGGATTTGCTTTTAATCTTCCGAACAATACAAAAACTGTCCCAAATCACTATTTTACCTTTTGACCCTTATCATTTTCAAATGGGCAATGTGTGCAATAAGTCGCTAACATAATTTAAAATGGAAATGATACAGTCCACGAAGGTTTGTAGGTGTCTTCTTGACTCCTTCTGAGAGACTTTCGGATAAGCAGCGTCCTCACCTTCTTTCCTTGTATCCATATCTTCATTTTTGGCTTTAGGTACAATATTTTGCAATATTCCTGAAACAAACAACTAGATTGAAATATATATATTCAAAATACGGAGAACGGTAATACTGCCGTATCGTTATTACGTAACTAAGTAATAACATCATTGGTGACGTCACGATTGAAAATATTTGAGCATAACAGACTACGTCACGATTGTATCTGTAAAATATTTAAAGATGCAAATGAAAGCGTTTATGTTTTATTAACATTTCTCCGTGTTTCTTAGTTTTCAACCTAAAATCTACTGGTCACTGATAATTCTTTATACAACTCTATTATATATATGTATATGTCTATTTATCCGTATTTACGTTTAAACATTTAATCCCAATACAAACATCAAGAAACATCTTACAACTGTTTTATAAATGTAATTCATGTATACACGCTTTAACTAACTGTTAATGACTTCTCTCATGTTAATAAATAACAATATGAACTTATCGAAAGACAAAAAACAGTAACAAATACAGAATAGGCACACAGGTTATATCAGTTAATTTCTTCATTAGGTAAATAAACAGTTCCTTGAGACAGGAATCAACACATATTGCATTTATTTTTCATTAAGGATATCTTTTAAACATCTTTAATATTTCATATTATTTTTTCAAAAAAACATCAAGAATATTTTATTGATTAGAAAGTAACGCATTTACATGTCAACAATAAAATTGTGATTATTAGCCTGCTCTAACATCAAGTTGTATTAAAGATTGCTGTTAATATAATGTATCAGTTGAAGAGGCGTGTTTTGATTAGAGATAAAAAAAAAAAAAGAAGAAGAAGACTTAAGTAATATGTCCGCAAAAAGCACGATAATGTGAAAAAAGGATAAACATATTTAATTAAGGTAATTACTGCCGTGTAGAAAGATGCATTACCCTTTCGAATATTTGGCATCAGTTGAGAAACGATATGTAAAGTATGCATGGTAATTGACAAACCCTGAGTGACACCATATAACGACGTTTCTGATGGTTTGTGATGGTGGCGGTTTCTTCTGCATTGGTGTCTTTCAGGTGTGTATCGGGATCTCTGATATCTGACGGGTCACTTTGAAAATCCAACTCCAACATTTCACCTGACCTTAAATAGGGACAACAGACATGTCTATAAAACAGTTGGTAGCTTAAATTGATGCTTACATAAATACCGAAATATCATTAAGTATTATTATATACTTCTCACATTTTGCTAAGGATCAGACATATTTTGAAGAAAAAAATCGAAATGTTAGAAAGAATATTATATTTTCCTTCGGTACTGTTTTGGGCGAATATGTTAGCCTTCCAAATCGTCCTGTGTGGGTGTGTTCAGTCAACCATAAAAGCGCGTGCAGGTTTTTCCACGAGGTCACCCCTTTCAAAAGCTAAGCTAGGCTAAGTAAGGAGTTGTTCAAATTGTTAAGGAAATCAATTTGATGAATGTTCTTTGCATGTTTTTTTTAATATGGCACAAAGACGAACAAGACAACGGTTAAATGACGGTGAAATGAATTGGGGCATCGGAATGCTGCAAGCTAGCATGGCTCAACGTCAGGTTGCAGCAGACCTTGGTGTGTCTCAAAGTGTGGTGGCAAGAATATGAAAGCATTTCCAAACTAACGGAAACCCTCCCAGACGTCATGCTGGAAGTGGTTCTAGGGCGTTACGAAATGACCTCCTAAATGCTTCTGGTACCCGGGAAGCCACTCAGACAGTTAGGAACCGTCTTCGTGATGCTGGTTTAAGGTCATGTAGATCAGTAATACGAGTTCCCTTAACTAATCGTCATGTTAGCGACCGACTAGATTGGGCCCAAGCTCACAGCACTTGGACTCTTTAGGGAACCGGTTCTTTTTACTG